GAATGGAGTACGTTAATCGATTTGCTTGGGACCAATAGGCTAGTCAAGTAGTGAGCCAATATAAAATCGTTAGTTTCGTATTGATTGTTGGTATGATCGCTGATTGCTCGCTCATCACGTTGCTCATCGTTACAGCTAATCGCTATTGTGACCCTCTGAAAGTTAAATTGACAGGTTTTATGTGTCATACACACACTTTACCTGCTCTACTTGCATCTTATAAATAAGAATTATCATTAAAACATTTCATGACTGCCACTCGGCTCAATTTCCGGAAGACCGATTTCCGTTTGCTGAGACGTTCCTTGTCCCGGATCAACTGGAATGTGTTGAATGACCTTGATATCGATACAGCAGCCGCTCGATATAATAGCCTTTTGCGCGACTGTGTTTGTGCTTCAGTACCGAAGTGCCAACCTCCAAGAAAACCGCCTTGGTCTAACGCTACTCTCCGCAACCTGAAACGAGTGCGATCTAGAGCTCTCCGTGATCTCACTCATCGACGATGTACCCTTACCAAGCGAAATTTTTCAATTGCCAGCAATGATTATCGCCACTACAACAAGCTTCTTTACAAAAGGTATGTAATTCGTACTCAACATAATCTGCAATGCCACCAAGGGATTCTGGTCGTTTGTGAATACGAAGAGGATGGAAACTGGACTGCCGTCAAAAATGTTTCTCGGCAATGACGTAGCATTGACAACTGAGGACAAATGCAGCCTATTTGCTAGGCACTTCTTAAGCGTCTTCTCGAATGACTCCCCATCGCAAGCAGAAATTGAGCGAGCCGTCCGTGATGTGCCAACCGACGTCGTAAACATGGATGTTTTTGTCGTAGATGTACAAATGGTTCTCTCTGTGATGAGTAAAACCAAATCATCATTTTCACCAGGTCCGAGTGTTATTCCATCTGCAGTCCTAAAAAAATGCTCCGATATCTTAGCTGCTCCGTTGTCCTTGCTCTTCAACCTGTCACTTCGTCAACAGAAATTTCCCGCACTATGGAAACGGTCTACTATGTTCCCTGTTTTCAAGAAAGGAGACAAACGCAATGTGGAAAACTACCGTGGGATTACCTCGCTTGGGGTTGAATCTAAGGTGTTTGAGTCGCTGATAAATGAGAGATTGTTTGCTTCCTGCAAGCATTACATGAGTACATGTCAACATGGTTTCTTTCCTGGCCGCTCCGTGGAAACTAATCTCGTCAGCTTTACGTCGTTCTGTATGGAAAATGTATGCAAGAAACTTCAAGTGGATGCCATCTACACTGATCTTAAAGCTGCGTTTGATAGAGTTGTGCACGACGTTCTGCTAGCAAAGCTTGAAAAAATTGGATGTTTTGTTTCCTTCTGCAGCTGGCTTAGATCGTACCTCGTGCAACGTGAAGTTACTGTATGCATTGGAAACTACTCATCGTACTGTATCTCGAACAGATCAGGAGTTCCACAGGGTAGCACTTTGGGACCAATGCTCTTCTCTTTATTTGTGAACGATGTAACGTTTATTCTACTACGAGGAGGTAAATTGTTTTTTGCCGATGACTTGAAGATTTATCTAGTCGTTCGAGGCTATGCCGACTGTTTAGAACTACAAAACCTTCTTGAAATCTTTAATGATTGGTGTGAACGTAATTTTATGGTCCTGTGCGTCTCAAAGTGCTGCGTAATTAGTTTCCGTCGAACTAGGACTGCCATTTTGTATGATTATAACGTTGCTGGAACTGCAGTTCAACGTGTCGATCACGTTAAAGACCTCGGTGTCATGTTGGATGAAAAGCTCACATACACTCGCCACTTCTCAACCACGATCGACAAAGCTAATCGACAGCTTGGATTCATGTTCAAGATATCTAAGGAATTTCGTGATCCTCTGTGTTTTAAAGCCCTTTACTGTTCATTGGTACGCTCACTACTGGAATTCGCGAGTATAGTCTGGAATCCCTACCAAGCTGTATGGAGTGGACGATTCGAAGCTGTTCAACGCAAATTCGTCAGATACGCACTGCGCTATCTTCCATGGAGTGACCCGCTGAATTTACCACCGTATGCTCACCGCTGTCGTTTACTGGGTTTGGATACTCTTGCTAAGCGACGAAACATATCGCAGGTCGTCTTCGTTGCTAAAGTTTTACTCGCAGAATATGATGTTCCTGAGTTACTGGCCAAAATTAATCTGTATGCTCCTGCCCGAACACTCCGTCCGAGAACCTTGCTACATGAAGTAGTACATGCAACCAACTATGCTGCAAACAGTTCCTTTGTCGCCATGATTCATCAATTCAACGAAGCCTCTGACCTATTTGACTTTGACATCAATGCCTCGATGTTTCGTCATCGTTTGCTGTTGACCAATTTTTAATTTTTAATGAGTGACTACATTTAGATTTAAGTGTTTCATTGAGACTATCAAGTCAGATGGACTATAATAATAATAAATAGTTTCATAAATCCGAAAAATAGCATTTTAGCTGTAATGAGCATTTGCAAGCTTGTGTATAGGTGATCAAGAACTCACGGTCCGCTAGTGTTGGTGAGTTTTTTGCCTTTAATGTTCATGAAAAGTTCACTATTTTGCCATAAAGGTTTCCAAAACAAAAAAGTTTACGGGCGGATTTGGACAGTTTTGACCTGTTTCATACCACCAAAAGGTGTATGCTAGTCACATATGCCTTGCCGAATTGATTTCCTATGCAAGTAATCAATCTTTGATCTGAATTTCGCGAATAAACACGAGGAGCACTTCTTATAGCAAAACTTGCCATACAAAATCGTCTTAGTTCATTTTAGTAAACAAACTAACACTTCTTCCTACTGTGCCACTTTTGTATTACCCGGTTAGGGTGCGGGTAGGTTGAGTGTACCTATTTCGAATAGGTACGCTACTCTTCCCACCGATGTTGAGAATACCACCTCAGCCACGGTGAAGCGGACCACGAAGAGGAAGAAAAATTAGGGCCAGTCCGATGGTGCGAGTGGACGTGACGATGCCACCGTGTCGGTATTTGTCAGGAACTGGTCTAACGTCGGTGGGTTGCCCGCCGGTGAGATGAATGTTGGCTCATCCGAGAACCAAACGGAGTACAGCCATAGAGGTAACTCTAAGACTAGTAGGTCCCGAAGAAACGTGCTCAACTTTTTGGCTCAGCTCTGGTACTATCTTCGGTCCTAAGCTCATCGATTCACCCCTCGAAACATAGGAAATTCCAGTAACCCCTCATTTCATTTGTCAAACTTTCATAGCGAATCAAAACAAACATACACTGAACCAAATTGTCCATACATCAATGTATGATTATTGCTTCACTTGAGCCCCATACGGATTATTTTTCTATTTGTGAAAGATTATCATTCTCTGATTCAGCTCTCAAAGCACAGAAGAACTGAATAGCATTAATTCTAAAACAGGATGATTTTCGTTCTGCACGCTGTAAACCATTAGCATGATTATCATCCGTTCTTAGGAAGACTTGAAATGAACAAACCGTATGATTAACATTGAGATAGATACGGACTCGTCATACAGTTTCAAAATAAATTGTCATGCAACGTTTAAATGAAATATAAGTGCAATCTGAATGAAAAATATATGGAAGCAGAAAGCTTATTTTACTGTTTAAAAATTGTGATCATAACGAAATAAATCTCTTCTAAATTGTTGGAACTGTTAATTAATGTTGTAAATGAAACACTTCTGTTTTATAAGCTGAACAATTGTTTTATTCATTTATTTGTTTTATCTACACTAAATGCTGCACTGGGCCGGCCTCGCCCCTGGCGTCCCCATCGAACAGTGGATTCGCCGGTTCGGACTCGTCATTCACGGAATCGAACCCAATCACGTTCTGTAGGAACTTGTGCAATTTAGGATGTTGGCTCGGGTTGTTTGTGGCCTCAAAAAGCAGTTTGAAAATGTTGTCCAAAATCTGCTAAACGAGCTTATCAGCTGGTTGGTCTTGAAGATATCACTGGAAGATAAATTTGTTTTGTTAGAATTTTATTGCTTGAAACCAAGGACCTCCCTCCCAGTAACATACTGAAGTCTAGGAATTTGAATCAACCAGCGGATGTTGTTTTGATTACACGTTTCTGTCGATGGCCACTTGGCCAGTTTGTAAAACTCCACTCGTTCGGCGACGAGTACGAAAGAGGCAGTTCGGCGTTTTGGTACTTGCTTTCCTCAAAGTCGCTGACCACCTCCTCGAAGGGGGGCTGGATCGCGAACAATCCACGGGCACTGAAGCATTCGAATCAAACGGGAACGGAACAAGTAGATATTTTTTTGCCACATGAATCCGAAAACTTTTTTCTCGTTCGCTTTTTGGTGACACTCCGCGTGGTATGCGAAAAAACTGTGTAATACTAGAATTTTGACTAGAATGGGGTACGTTAATCGATTTACTTGGGACCAATAGGCTAGTCAACTAGTGAGCCAATTTCAAATCGTTAGTTTCCACCGGTTGAATTGAAGTGGCGGTGGGCCGGCCACACTCTACACATGGCGGAAACGAAATCTGCAAGCAAGCGCTGAAATGAACCCGGCAGGACATCGCAGCAGAGGCAGAACCATGGGCTCATGGCGGTTGTGCCTCAACAATGAAATCAAGCAAGTCGATAGGAATTTGACCTGGGCTCAGGTTACAGCAAATGCCAACAAATGCGAACAGAGGAAAAATAAATCCACCTAGTGTTGAAGGAACACCATCAGGGGTTGCATTTCGCAAGTCGAAACGACAAACTTTTTCATACAAGCGTTCATACAAAAAATGCTTCGTTTCGACTTGCGCAATGAGGCCCCAGGCTTGCATGTTTCAAGCTGTATTTTGTATCTGGGTTGAAGATCATGATAAAGGCTAAAATTGGGCTAGAATCATTGTTGATATACAGAGACCAAGCCCAGCCCGCGGCCCACACGTCGGACAGTACTACCTTAAATATTTCCTAAACATAATAAAAAAACACAGCTTAATATAATTAATCAACATTTACACTTGTATTTCTGTTCGTTAGTACAACATTATATGCATACATATATGTAACTAGGTATTATGTACTACCAGGTTACATTTTAAAACAATATATTTCCACGTGTTTTCATCTATCTAAAACAGCCGAAAGCCACTCTACTACTACCTACTACTCCTTCGTAATCAACTGCACAATCGTTCCGATCACCTTCCGCCCATGTTCGTGATTGGTCAGGTTCAACAGCGGATCGCTAATCTTCAGTTCCAGCATCTTGGCCAGCTCCAGCCGCAGGAACTTCATCATCTCCGCCACCTGGTGCGTTTCGGCCTGCAGTGCAATCCATCCGTCCTCCAGTAGTATCACAAAGTCGCCTCCATGCAGTTCTATTCGCAAATCACTTCCGGAGAACAGCACCATCGGCAGCAGTGGGACCATGGTCGTTTCCCTGATGTAGATTCGGGAGGTTTTCACCTTCTCCTGATAGACCAGGTAAGGGGAATTGAAGTGGCCGGTTTTGGAGTTGATCGACGAGGGATGCAGGTTTACGTAGCCGTCCTGCTGGGTTTTGAAGCGGAGGTCGGATGCTTGGGGGAGTCTTGGGACGGCGCCTCCAGCTCCGCTGATGAAGGATTTTTCCGGAGTCAGGACTTTGATTACGTTCGGGTATAACGCGGCGCAAAGAATTGCGGCTAGAAGGCGATTGTTTTCTCCGTTGGCGTTGATGTCCATCCCGGTTAGTTCGAGCAGTTCGTCTTTGACGAACTTCCCCCGCCGTCCACTGAGATCGGTAGGAACGAAACCGATTGAGACGAGCAGTTCCAGGAATTGGTACTTCATTTCTCCGATCGTTTGAAGCGTTTTCGAGGAAAGGTAGTTCTCTTCGGCGTAGCAATGCGCTGCATATCTGCTTCGTTTGGTAGTTTCTTTCCATTTCCGGTAGGCATTTAGCATCGTTAGGTGGTCACTGTTGGCAATTCCGAACTGACGTTTGCGACTGTCGGCTTCGTCCCGTTTGCTGAAAGGCGATACGAAGGGGCTTTTGAAGCTGAGACAAGCGGCGATCGTTAGGACGCTATCCAGACACTGGAAGATTGCACCGAAAAGCATAAGTTTGCCTATCCGCACGTCGACCGGTAGTGCAGCTAGATGGTGTCCGAGGGACGTCAATTGTTCGTCCAGATCGAACGCGCCAACATCAATTAGTCGCTTCTTGGCCGCTTCAATGTTCTCTTCCGAAGGTGGTTCGATAGTTCCCATAAGAACATCTTTCAGCGAGCTTCCTTGCAAAGTTTCCAGCGTTTTGATTCTCAGCAGCAACGGTTCCAGTGGTATCCGATGAATTTCCGGCACCGGTTGACCGAGGATGTGATTGGTGAAGCGAGGTTTCGTGAACAAATGGATGCAGACTCCTGGCATGACACGCCCGGCTCGACCCTTCCTCTGGAGGGCATTGGCCCGGGAGACCCACACAACATCCAACGATTCCATGTTCCGGTTCGAGTCGAACCGTTTCTCCTTCATCTGGCCACAATCGATCACGAACACGCAATCATCGATGGTGACGGACGTTTCGGCAATGTTGGTACTGAGAACGATTTTCCGCTTTCCCTTGGGTGCCTTCCGGAAGACCAGCGCTTGCTCTTCGTTGCTGAGAGTGGAGTGCAGTGGGACAAGGATAAATTTGCCTTCCCGAGGACCGAACAGCTTGCTATCGGTTAGGGCTTCGTGAATGGTTTGAATCTCGGCTAGACCAGGGAGGAAAATGACGATGGATCCCTCCTGGGGCCAACCGTGATCGGTTCCCTCAACTATGTATCGCAGGACGTGTTCTATCAGTTCCGGATTGATGCGGAGCGGATCCAACAGGTAGAGAGTTTTGCAGGTTGGTTTGGAGTAATCTGAAATATAAATTGATAAACTTAAGATTGATTTTGCTTAGGGGTTTGAGGAAAATGTCGTCAACTTACCCGAGTATCTGGCGAACATATCAGTCATCTTTAGGTTCTCATCCTTGATCGATTTGGCCGGGGCAGCGTTGGCCGCTTTCACATCTGAGTATTCCAGTTCCTGTAACAGTTGTTCCTCTTCGCCTTTCCGCAGTTTTCGACAGAACTGCGAGTCAGCCTCCAACACGAACCCACTCTTCTCCAGGATATCCTCCAGGAAAAGCTGCTCCACGGGGAAGGTTCTTCCGGGAATGTCCAATACCGGAACATCACCGAAGTAGGACGAAAAAAGATTTGAATTCAGCGTGGCCGACATGAGAATCACCTTGAGATCAGAACGCTTCTCCAGTAGTTGCTTCAGGATGAGCAGCAGGAAGTCGGATTCCTCGGAACGTTCGTGCACTTCATCTACCAGGATATGAGTCACATTGTTCAACATGGGTTCCGACTGCAACCGTCGCAGCAAGATTCCCGTCGTGCAGAAGGTTAGCCGAGTAGACGAGGAAATCTTATTCTCCAACCGGATCTGATAACCGACGGTATTGCCAATCTTTTCAACCCGCTCGTCCGCCACACGCTCTGCAACTCCAATCGCCGAAATCCTTCTTGGTTGGGTGCAGATAATTTCAACGTGAGGAACTTTGCCGTCCATCTTCGAAGACTGGTATAGCCAATTGTCCAGGATGAACTGAGGCACTTGGGTGGATTTACCGCAACCTGTTTCTCCGCTGATCACCAGCACCGAATTGCATTCCATCGCGGCTATAATGTCGGACATTTTATTCCACGCCGGCAGTTGCTTCCGATGCCGTAGCATATCTTTGTAGGCAGTGTTGGTCTGTTTGTCCATGAACTTCCGGATGATGTTCAAATCCTCTTTCCGCAGTTGTTCTGGATTGGATCTCGGTCCGGACGAACGGTTCGTGGTGCCCTTCTGATGGTGAGTCGGGAGATCTTCGATTTTTAGATTGTTCATTTCGTCTACTTCCGGTTGATAGAAAAGCGAACGCCTAGGATCTGGAAATTGATATCGATCCAACTCGATAAACTTCTCAATTTCCTCATCGTTCTGAAGCAATTCCGCTATGGAGTACACACACGGCATTCCTTCCTGGGTAATGGTAATCGATTCCTGTACCAGTCTCCTGCAAATCCTCAACATCAACTGCTGAGGGATGTCCGCGCAAGTCGTTTTCAAATAAACCGAAGGTGCCTCGTAAGGATATTTGCTCTTCTTAGGAAACCGAATCTCCAGGAAGAACCAATTCGGATCTTCCTCCGGCTTGTCCTTTTTCTCCTTCGTGTTCGATTCTTCTCCCTCGGAATCCGGTCCATGCGAAAAGTAACACTTATTTCCGTACCTGCACTTCCCTTTAGCGAAATTCCAGCACGGTTCCTTCTTCGGCTTTTTCTTCCGACCAATCTGTTGCCTCCTGCGTTCTTCCTCCTCCACCTGTTTCGTCTTCTGCTGTTCCATCTTCTTCATTTCCGAAGGACTGTGCGCCATCAAATGGTCAATTTTGAACTTCAACAGCCATACCCGGTTCCTTTCCTTCTCAACGAACAACTTATCGTAAATCGATTCCATCGCTTCCTTCTCATCCGCTCTCATCTGGTGGAGCTCTTCTTCCCCAAAGTCACACTCCTGATACACCAAATCCACCGGCGGTGGAAAGTACTTTTCAAACAACAGCGCCAGCGCATCATCCACATCCCCCTTGCAATGATCTAGCGCTTCCTCGCAGTGCTTCTTGGCAAATCCATAGCTGGCCAGTTTAATCAACGCATACATTCGGAACTTATCCTCGTTCGAATTCCCCGTCTTCTTCACATCCGAGAAATCGCATCCACCCTGAATGACCAGATTCCCCCGGTCCTGCCAGTATGACTTCTTCATCCGGCCACCTTTGTCTTCGTACTTGGAAATGTCACCAAGCTGGAAGGAATCTCCGTGGATCGTCCTCAGCGTGTCCATTACCATATTCTGTGAGTCCAGCTTCAGCCGAAGGACCTGCAGCTCCACCTTGACCGGGGCCTTCGTCGGCGGAGGTTCAATCGGAGCATTCCTATACATAAATGAATGAGATGGGTTCAATTATTACACCATGTTGTTCAATGTAGGTAAACAGTACTCACGTCGAACGGGGATCCACGATTGTCCGCAGAAAGCAATCGCTCAGCAACTGTTTGCTTTCGCCGTTCATCCTGCGGGGTCTTCAAAAATGGAAAATTGACTTGAAATCAAACGCAAATCACTGATCCCGGATGGAAAAGATGAAAAATCGTGACGCACAGTTCACGCGAAGAAAATGAAACGAGCTACGACGATATATTACGATCGCACGACGTGGAGTGGAGAGCAAAACTGTCAAAATCAGCTGCTTTGCGATTTTTTTTTTGTTTAATGTGGTGCGCCATGTCAGCTCGTCGATGACTGAGAGTGAAGTTAGCTTATTGGGTAAACAGCAAGGTGGTACTGAATCATGCGGCACGGAAAAAAATCCTCGTAAAAATCGGTAAAATATTGCGACATTTTCTTCGTATCATCGGTTGAAAACCGGAAAACCCCACACGTGACAATCGATTTTACTCTTGTTCTGCACGTTAAACTCATGTGTCGGACATAGGGTACTGAATTCGCACAATGATGCGCTATAATGCGCACTATGGTTGACGTTATGTTTAACTTATTCGTTCGACTGTAACAACTTTCGGTAGACGTCCCATGCTGTTACTGTATCCAGTATTTTACGATCGCTTATGGCCGCCACAATCTGGCTGAATTTCTGGTAGGGAACATACGATTTGAAGTTTGGCTTTGTAGCGATATTCTGATTGGCAAATCAAAGTTGGCTCTCGTGGAGAATAGAAGAACTATGAAAGTGATGATGGTTTCAAAATTTTCCACGGGGAAGTATACGAGTGCAATCTTAAAATGCATTTATTTTGTGAATGGAGCATTTTATTTAAATCTGGTTAGTGCTACGTTAGTAGAAAACTTCAGGACTACTCAATAGACATATAATACAGAAAACATAATTTATTTTCAGATTTTTAGGTGTAAACATAGACTTTCGCTTTTCTACCACTGTAGCAGAAACCAGATTTAAATAAAATGCTCCCTTTTCAAAATAAAAGCATTTTAAGATTGCACTCGTATACTTCCCCGTGGAAAATTTTGAAACCATCATCACTTTCAAAGTTCTTCTATTCTCCACGAGTGCCAACTTTGATTTGCCAATTAGATATTAAATTAATGTAGCATGAAGTTCAAATGCTACAAATGTTCACTGCTACGAGTTACCTCTATGCTGCTACTATTCGAAACGACACGCACTATCCCAATTTACTTGTATGCAACTGGTGAACTCATATCAAGAGTAAATTATCCCTGCATGAAATTTCACTCATTATTTTGTTCATCCGCTCACTAGGCGCGTAAGTTTTCTCATTTGAGGTGGCATGAAATTTGATCCGTGGGATTGAATATAATCTCCCAGTAGGATTACTTGTCGTCGGAAATTTAATAATAAGAAAAACGCTTTAAGTTAAAGATTGGAATGAGCTAGGCAGATGTGGGATACTTGGGAGGAAAAGAGATAGTATCTCTGATCGAATCGGAAGGTAATCGGAGATCGCCTTTTGATAAGATCGTTTTTTCGGTTTCCGGAACGAAGGCCAAGAATTGTTTTAGCGGCCTTTCTGAGGAATCCCAAGTTCTTTCTCGTCTACTTTAATCCAACCCGTGGAAGAGGCAGGACTGTGAAGTTTTTTGTATAGTTTCGCTTTGTGTTTGTAGAGGTATATTTAAATGTGAGAAGTGTCTTTAAGTTCAGTGTAATTAATTGTTCGTTAATTTCATTGATTAGGTGTAGTTACTGTTGATTTAGTTGAGTAGGCTAGTGCGGTACTGTGCGCGATTTTAGTTTCAAGCAAAAAGGTAAATTATTTGCTATGCGGTTTTGCAACAATGCGCTTATCCAATTGTACAGCCGTTTGACGGCTTTTTGTCTCTAGTTTCGTCCCACCACCTCCCGCTCGGCATACCGCGCCCCCTCGATATTACCACTACCCTGACCCCACGCGTCGGTATTAAAGGACCTAACATCGGCCGGAGTTAGAAGGGAGCTGCGCCGTCTATATCGCGCTCCAGGTGAGCATTTTTCCCACCCACCGGGATATCACCACGAAAAGCAGTTGGTGAATTAGAGAATCAAGACTCGCACCCAATTTGGTGAATCTTTTGTATTCCGTGCAGCGAGCGTCGCAGGAGCGACAGACGATGGTTAGGAGCAGTCGGTAAAGCAGAAGCGTGAGTAATAGAGGTAACTCTAAGACTAGAAGGTCCCGAAATAACGTGCTCAACTTTTTGGCTCAGCTCTGGTACTCTCTTCGGTCCCAAGCTAATCGATTCACCCCTCGAAACATAGGAAAAACCAATAACCCCTCATTTTATCTGTCAAACTTTCATAGCGAATCAAAACAAACATTGCGTAGTACTAGAATTTCGGCTAAAATGGGATACGTTAATCGTTTGCTTGGGACCAATAGGCTAGCCAAGTAGTGAACCAAATTAAAATCGTTAGTTTCGTATTTATTGTTGGTAGAACCGTACAATGTCCGCATGCATGCAATAAATCTGGATGAAGCGCCAATTATAAATAGCCATTTAGAAATCCGCACAGTTAAGTAGGGAATTAGAGAGAGAGTAAGAGAAGAATGAGGGTTCCCGGATAAAAATGTTTAGGTAATAAAATTTTCGTTCTATATGTTGTTTTTCTAAATAAATGTCTTTCTATTCTGCTAAATAATTGTGTTGATTGTTAGGTTAGAATTTCCCGTTCAATGAGTGCACTGGTCTAAAGAAGTTTCTCACGTTTCGTTCGTTGTTGTAGTTTTCGTTGTTTGGTTTTACTCCAAGTCGGACTGCTTGGGAATCTCAGTCCACCATTTCTGTCCTGAAGCGTGTCGATTTTGTGTTTGGGGAAGAGCTTCACCTGTGATGAGAAACAGGTCGTCCAGTGCATTCGCTCCGGTAGAAAGACGGTTTCTAATTAGTTAGTTTTCATTCGGTTGGATTTAGTGTTTTCTTTGAATCCCAAGTACTTAACGTCTACTAGCGCGTTCCAATCTTTTGCATTAGACTGAACTCGCCCTGGGGTTTTGAGTTTGCCGGACATCCGAAACGACAAGTGGTCCTCTATGGAGGTGGCGCTTAAGCCATTTGTTTAAAAACCAATCCACTGAACACTCTAGAAGACCGATTTAGGCTAGCCAACTTTATGCCGGCTACAGCTTTTGTCGATTACACTTAAAACGACACAACCCAAACGTCAAATCATACCAAAAACTCAGTTAGATTGTGGCGGCCATAAGCGCTCGTAAAATGCTGGATAGGGCTAGTAGGGATAGGGCTTTAATCACCGACAAATCGACATGAATGACCATAGCAAAAACAATAAAATTTCTAACCAAAGCACACTACTGACATCTGTCAAAAAACCCGAAAACGTATGCATTGTGCGCCGGCCTTAAGACCAGAAGGTCCCGAAGAAAAGTGCATAACTTTTTGGCTAAGCTCTGGTACTATCTTCGGTCCCAAGCTAATCGATTCACCCCTCGAAACATAGGAAAATCCACTAACCCCTCATTTTATCTGGTTCAATTTTGACCGATCTGGGTGGATTCTGCCCAAATTTGGGTAATTTAGAAATAGTGTGTAAGCAATAGTAACAGTAACAGTAACAGTAACAGTTGAAAATTCAGTAGAAACGGTAAAATCACAATTTTGATTTGAATTTCATGCTACAATAAAGGGTGTCCACGATGAAATTGCCACACTATGAAATTGCTCTAACTTTTTAACCGTTGCGTAGAATTTAATGAAAATTTGGGTGGATTTAGTTCATAGTGCATTATTTACATCCTGCAAGTTTTAAAGTCCTGTGATCAAAACTCGCGGAAATGGAGTCGAAAGAACAGCTCGTGCGTGATAAAATCTTGCGCATTCATCACGAGAACAAGGATCTCTCGCATCGTTCCATCGCTAAAACGTTGGGAATCGCGAATTCCACGGTGTCGCGAGTGATTAAGCGGTTTGAGGAACGGTTGACCACCGATCGGAAGCCCAGAAGTGAAGGAAAAAGTATTCCGTACAACACCAAAAATCACAACCGCGTAGTTGGGGCCTTCAACCGAAATCCGAACGCCTCCGTTAGGGATGTGGCTAAGAAGCTGCACCTAAGCCGAAGTTTTGTCCAGAAGGCCAAAACTAAGGCTGGGCTTCGAACTTTCAAGGTACAAAAGGCCCCTAATCGCGACGAGAAGCAGAACAAGTCCGCCAAAACCCGTGCCAGGAAGTTGTACCTCAACATGCTGACGAAAGTTGAATGCTGCATCATGGACGACGAAACATATGTGAAGGCCGACTTCAAACAGATCCCCGGCAACCTGTTTTTCACGGCCAAGGATAAGTTCAGCGTTCCGGAGCATGTCCGCACTCAGAAGATGTCCAAATTTGCGAAGAAATTCCTGGTTTGGCAAGCCATCTGCACGTGCGGGAAGCGGAGTGCACCTTTCGTGACCCAGGACACGATGAACGGACAGGTGTACATAAAAGAGTGCCTCCAGAAGCGGCTGCTTCCTCTCCTGAAGGCCCACAACGTCCCAACAATCTTCTGGCCGGATTTGGCCTCATGCCACTACTCCAAGGACGTGCTGAAGTGGTATGCGGACAATAAGGTCAATTTCGTGCCGAAAATGTTCAACCCTCCCAACACTCCGGAGCTCCGCCCCATCGAGAAGTACTGGGCGATTATGAAGCAGCACCTTCTTAAACGACCTAAGGTAGTGAAGACAGTCGAGGAACTGAAGAAAGTATGGGTTTACATGCAAAAAACGGTTGATTCACAAGTTGTGCAGAATCTTATGGCCGGGGTTAAGGCCAAGGTGCGGGCATTTGCGTATGGACTGTAAATAAAATACGAGTAAAATGGTAAAATGAAGTTTAATAGTTATTTCTCAATCCCTGAAAATTTGATGGCAATCGGATGAAAACTCGAATTTTGCGAATCAATTTTGTGTGTGGCAGTTTCATCGTGGACACCCTTTATAGCAAAAACCACATAGGACGTTTTGACTAGTCAAGTTGTACATCGGACATGTTACATTGGACGATTTTTCTCAATGACATAATCAATTAGTGTTACATTGGACGATTTATTCTACATGATACTAGATTCCCTTTCACAGATGTCATAGTAGAGTACCTAACTTTAGATTGGCCCCGCCTTTAGAAAATGAGCACCAAAATAATGATGTAATAG